AAATAATTCCTAAACTCCATGAATTGATAACAATTGGATTCTTACAACAGTCATCCTGTTAGGACACTCCAGACTCCCTTCAAAAATGACAGGCTTCAGGCAGCGCTTTGTGTGCTCCAATGTGAATGTATTTGCCTGGAGACATTGTTATGAAATAGCTTTTGTTTCTCTGACTAAAGGTTGGAACACTACTCCTCAAGTTGTTTATATTCCTATCATTTCTGTACCTCCTCCCTCTGGGGTTTCTGACATCAGGCAATCTCTATCTGGGCACAATTGGGCTTACACACATGATAATAAACTATAAGGTTATAAAATAGTTCCTTAGCGATGCTACTATGCAGCAAAGCCAAGATCTCTTAGAATACAGCGTCTCTAACCCCACCCAGAGTGGCTGTAGATCAGAGGGTGCTTAGTTATTTATCACTGATAACTACTGCTTCCCTTCTTCCCTCCTTCCCTCCTTCCTTGTGTCTGTCCTTCGTAGTTTCCCAACAGATACCCAGTTTTAAGTTAGCCTAATAGACTCTCACTCTATGTCCAATTAAGCAAAAAAAAAAAAAAAAAAAAAAAAAAGCAAACGGATTACAAACATCTCCACAGCAATCATTTCCTCTATTTCTTTCATCCCCAACCTAAAGTTTCTACCTGCAGTTGCCTGGGTGTAGAGACCTGTGTCTGTGTACACTGACTTATAAGGTCAAACTCTTTGGTATCAGTAACTCATTACTGAAATCGATAGTAATACCATGAGTATATGAAGTAGGATTGCCTTAAGAATATTTTTTTCCATTCTTGATATGGTTAATGTGGAGGGTTGTTATTCAGAATGCTGCCTTATCAAGTACAGCAACATAAAACACATCTAGTTGCATAGATGAGGGAGCCCAACTTACTCTTGATTTTGCCAAGTAGCAGGTGCTCTCAAAAGTCCTTACTGCTTGATAGCTATTTAGTAAAACGTGCACAGTGCCATCTAGTGGTCCACTGTCACGATCGTGTATCCTAAATCATTTTTCTGAAATTGAGATGACTACAGTAAGCAACTCATAGGTGCGACTGTTAGGCCTGAAACAGGCTCCCTGATGATTTCCCACTGAATCCCAACTTAACATTTCTTAGTGCTCCTACAATGGACAATACTTCTTTTTCAGTAATTAGTTTGGATCAGTTAACAGCACTGGCTGCTCTTCCAATGGACCTAGGTTCAATTCCCAGCACCCATGTGCCCTCTTCTGGCCTCTGCGGGTACCAGGTACACACCTGGTACACGGACGTGCTTGTAGGCAAAATACCCACAAACACGGAAAATAAACAGCAGCTGGGAGGTGGTGGCGCATGCCTTTAATCCCAGCACTCAGGAGGCAGGCGGATCTCTGTGATTCAAGGCCAGTCTGGTATACAGAGCAAGTTCCAGGAAAGGCGCCAAAGCTACACAGAAAAACTCTATCTCGAAAAACTTAAATAAATAAGTAAATAAAATAAACAGCAATAACCAGAAAACTACAGAAGCATTGTGAGGAGGTGAACACTAGGAAGAAATGTCTAATCACAGTGTCAGAGGCACACATACAATAAAATGGACTGGATTAGGCTGGGCTTTGTGGCATGAGCCTTCAATTCCAGCAGTTCCTGAGGTGGGTTAATATTTGGGTTTAGGGACAACCTGGTCACTGTGTAGCAGTGAGTTCCGGGACAGTGATAGGTGTTTCTACACACCACTACATCCTGTGTCATTTATTTGATCTCTAGCAATAGGCTTAGCTGTTCCTGCTTCCTGCCTATCTGTTGCCATCTCTTTCTTCCATTAGATTCAGGAATAATATTTTCAAGCTTGAACTCATCATGTAGCTCTCCTTACAATCTGTGTCTCATGCTTGGCACAAACGTAAATCCTGCTCACAGCTATGATGTGTCCATACTTGGCACGACATCAAATCCTGCTCATCGCTACAATGTGTCCCCATTGTGACCTTGTCCTCCTGGCCCTGCCACAGCTGTTGTGATTCTATTCTGTACCTAGAACTCTGAGTCTTACCCTTTGCTTTTAGTTTTTACTGCCTGTGTGACTGAGTGACGCTGTGTCCTCACCAGGAGTAGGGCCTCATGTGAAGCAGGAACCACTTTTTTACCATGCACCTTTGGGCCTCATAGTGCCTTAGTCCTAATTATAAGCCCAGTTTTACTTAGATCATCTGTGCTTTGGTTTTCAGAGTATTGAGGCCTCGGGCGTGGGGAAGCACAAATTCTAAGCACTTTTACTTTAGATGACTTCAATATGATATCTGGGTGTTTCATTTGCCCATAACAGTAAGCCATTGTTTCCTGTGACGTGCCAAGTGTTTCCCAGGGGTTGACTCCTTTAATCCACGTTGTGATCAAATGAAGATATTATTAACACTCTGAAAATTGACTGTATTGGAGTATGATGATTCAAACCACAACTGTGATTCTTCACAACAATGTTGTCTTTTTCAAATATCCTTAGAAACCATTGCTCCGTTGGTGAGTTATTGGCATTTTCTCACTTAGTCATCCGATGTGTGATTATTCTCCCGTGATATTAAGTGACTGTGATGGGTGCTAGAGGGCTGAGCATTTATCACAGCACACACAGACTTCCTGTGGTGTTTACAGTACAGAAGCAGATGGCCACGTTCCAAATAGGCACATGGCTGGGGTACAAAACCTGGAGATGGAGCCAGAAAGACATCCTTAAAGATGTGGTGTTGATGCTGAGGTGTAGTGAGTGAGACATAAATGAGAAATGCAGAGGCAAATTGGAACAAACAGACAGAAGCCCTTTTAAGACATGTTTGGATCACACATAAATGAGAATTTATGAAAAGACATTACACATCAGGCAAGTGACATGTCATTAAAAACTGAAGTCAGTCCAGTCTAACTCCCATTCCCCTTACATTGCACAGACACATTATGAGGAGCAGGCTCATGGAGTACACAAATAATAATGACAGGAATCACTGATGTTACCCTCAAGAACAAAAGTAAGCCCCCCCCCAGAGACTTGCATTGATACATGCTACTTCCCTTGGAGTGCCTTGCAGTGCTAATTAATCTTAGATAAAAGTGGGTGGAGAGATACTCAAAGGGAAAGAGTGCTTGCTGCTCCTTTGGAGATCAGAGTTGGGTTTCCAACACTTACATGGCAGCTCACAACCATCTAAATGTCCAGTTCAGGGATTCAACACCCACTTCTGACATTCATGGGCATTACATGCATATGGTGCATACATATATGTAGACAAAACACCAATGCCCATGAAATAGAAGCAAACTAATCTTTCAAAAAGAATAAGATACAAACTAATGCAGTAAAGACACTGGCTATCAACTTCTGCCTAACACACACACACACACACACACACACACACACACACACACACACACACACATTGGTCTCTATCCAGTAATCTAGTCTAGCCTCTTCATTTATAATTATTTAGCAAGAAAATAGAAGCACATGACAATCCAAAGGCGTGTACGTAATTACTCATAATGACTTTATTTGTAACAGCTACAACCTGGATTAACATAAATACTCAACAACAGATGAGTTGGGAACCAAACTGTAATGTTTCCATCCTGGACAACGTTACTCAGCAACAAAAAGGAGTGAATTGTCAGTACATGCCTAATAAAGATGATTCCTAAATGCTTATGCTAAGTAGAAGAATTCAAGTGAACAAATGGAATTCTAGTTATTTAGAATTCAATGAATTTGTAATAGAGAGCAAGAAAATCAGAGTTGTCTGATTGCAAAGGATGGGTTCCAGGGGCACACATGAACACTCTTAGTGGTGAGGGCTACTGGGATGGTATAGATATACTTCAGTTCAAAGAGAAAAATACTCCCTGAGTATTTCAGGAGAAAGTAACCAAGAACATAATTTCTGACCAGGTTGGTTAAGTAATCTATGACTTATTTGTGCTGGTGTGTGGTCTTGTACTTCCCTGCCTCATCTCTTATTTCAACATTGTGTGTGTGTGTGTGTGTGTGTGTGTGTGTGTGTGTAAATATACACTTATGGAGATAATCCATTTTAAATACTTAAAGTGAAGCCGGGCGTTGGTGGCGCACGCCTTTAATCCCAGCACTCGGGAGGCAGAGGCAGGCGGATCTCTGTGAGTTCGAGGCCAGCCTGGTCTACAGAGCTAGTTCCAGGACAGCCTCCAAAGCCACAGAGAAACCCTGTCTCGAAAAACCAAAATAAATAAATAAATAAATACTCAAAGTGAATTCTGATCTCTTTGAGCAGTTAGAGTTCTTTTTTCTCGTCATTTCAAGCAGCCACTGTGTTCAGTGGGGAGCTTTTTTTTTTAAGTCTGATCGTCTTGAATTTGACTAACTACCAATTTTGCTAGTGACTATTCCTTCATTGGCTGTTAATTCCCCTGTCCCTCAGTTTTCCTGCATGTAACATTGGAATAAAGACCATGTTGCAAAGGTAGGTTAACACAGAAGATGGTGACAGTAATTGCTAACTTGACAAGGCCCAGCCTCACCTAGGATACACACCCTAGACACATATATGAAGGAGCTTGCAGGCTTGGTTAATTGAGACGGAGGGTCCTGCTGTTGTATGGGCAGCATCATTCTGTAGGGTGGGGTCCTGGACTGAATAAAATGGAGCAATTGAACTGAGCAGCAGTGCTGGTCTTTCCATGCTTCCCAATTCTGGATACAATGTCGCCAGCTACCACAGCTTCACCGTCATGGAGCATACCCTTTCTCCTTAAAGTTGCTTTTGTTGGAGATTTTGTCACAATGAGAAGGTATTACCAATACATACACTTGGCATTTGGTAAGTCATTTGTTGCTAAGTGCATGGTCTTCAAGTCCTGGAGATGGACTTCATGCATTGCACCTCCACAGCAGCTGCGCACATGTTAGAACCCGGACAACCCAGGGTAGTGTAAAGCAGCCACCACCCTCCCATGTGCTTTGGGCTGACGTGTTTACTCTGCTTCTGTCGTAGTGCACCTGGTGGACATCTGGAACGTCATCGAAGCATTGCGGGAAAACGCTTTGAACAACCTGGACCCAAACATAGAGCTCAACGTGGCCCGCCTGGAGGCTGTGCTCTCTACCATTTTTTACCAGCTCAACAAACGGATGCCAACCACCCACCAAATTCACGTGGAGCAGTCCGTCAGTCTCCTGCTCAACTTCCTGCTCGCAGCCTTTGACCCGTGAGGCCCCTGTGACTGTCAATTACTCTCCTCTCCTCTCTCTCTCCCTTTCTCTCTCTCTCCTTCTCTCTCTCTCCCTCCCTCCCTCCCTCCCTCTCTCTCCCTCTCTCTCTCTCTCCCTCCCTCCCTCTCTCCCTTTCTCTCTCTCTCTCTCCTTCTCTCTCTCTCCCTCCCTCCCTCCCTCCCTCTCTCTCCCTCTCTCTCTCTCCCTCCCTCCCTCTCTCTCTCTCTCTCTCTCTCTCTCTCTCTCTCTCTCTCTCTCTCTCTCTCTCTCTCTCTCTCTCTCTCTGTTCTGTTTTCTTTTGTGCCTTTCTTGGTCATTTTCCCAAATGATATTCTAGATTCATTATATTTTTTCCTTCATCACATGTTACCTTCATAAGCAAAACTTTAGAAGCTGTAGAGACTAGAGTCGTGAGAGGACAGCTATATCTTATGAGGAAACCTTGTTTTACTCCCATCATGCCCCATGTCACAGTTTGCATGGGTGCTCCAGAATGTGGCGTGACGGCTCGCATGCAGTGCGATGTGACAAGGCGCAGAGAGGGGGGATGTGGCTAACGTCGTTCTTTGCCGTTTAACCTAGACTGGTTTCTGAAGTATCCTAGCAACAGGGAAGAAGTTGACGGGGCTCTCGGCTAGCCTAGGAAAGCAACAAGGACTGGTGTCACGTGGACTAGTCAGTTGTGTGACGCAATGAAACAGTGCAATGCACCACAGCTGAGCTGTAGCCTCATTCTCTCACAACTCCCCCACGTGGAGTCAGAGAGCCGCAGAGCTGCCTGGCATCTGGAAGAGTATTCACACAAGTCTCCTTTCACAGGGGCAGGGCCTGAAGCACAATGAGACTGTCACTTAGCCAGTCCTCAGTGGCATGTCCGTGGAGCATGGGGGACGTGGGTATTCTGCTAGGGTTTCTCTTTCTAAGATGTTCATGACAGCCACATGACATGTGAAGACTTCAGGAATTGCCTGATCAGCCCAGCATTTCAAAAGGGCGTTTGTCCTCAGCCCCTAGTGTTGACACGACATCACCTATCTTAGCCTTTGCCATGTTTTGAACATTAAGAAGGGAAAGTGCAAAGCTGACCTTTACACAATCATATTTTAACTCTAAAGACTTTGCCTGTCCAAGTGGACATGTACCGTGGCAATGGGGATGTCCCAGTCACACTGATGGCATTGTCTTACTCACCAAAGTCACCAGCTGTCACTTTGGAACCCAGAACTGTAACAGAATTGTTCCTGCCCGGTTTGATCAGCAAGTATTATTGGCTCCGTGATGACTACATTGTGAGAAATTTGTGAGTTGAAAACAAATGTTTTTAAGACCAGCTGCCCACCCTTTCCTTGTGTCTATTTAAGAACCAGATGATCTGCTCTGGTCTGACCCCCGTGGGAATCTGGGAAGGGACAGTGAGAGAGGGCTGCGGTTCCACATGGCAGATGATGAAATGGAATTGGGTTGTGGAATTTCTGTAACAGAATTCCCACTCTGGCCCCTTACCAAGAACACAATGGAGTCCAAACTTGCCGCTAAAGGCTGAGTGGGACCCGTTTGTTTTAAATGTGTGTTATCTAACACCCTGTTGCTGAGTCAAATGCCCGAGATAAGTAACTTCCAGAGAGGTAACTTTGGCTCACAGCTTCTGTGACTTTGGTCCATGCTCACTTGGCACCATTGCCTTGGGGCCTGTGGGTGAGTACCAGAATTGTCTGTTCACTTGTGATGTCTGGGAAGCAGGGAGAAGGCACTGGAGGTCCAGTGTTCCTTTTTTAGGGCTCATGCTCCATGACCTAAGTTTTACTTGGTTCTACTTCTAAAGATTCCTAAGAGTGTCACAGTCTGCCAACAGAGCCTTTAATAACAGAACCGGGGGTAGGGGGTGGGGGTCTAAATCACAACCAAATGTGTTGACAGGAAACACTAAAATAAGTATGGGACTGGAAAGATATCTTGGTGGTTAAGAGAACTTGTCACTTTTGCAGAGGACTCGGGTTCAGTACCCAGAATCCACACTGAAACTGCAGTTCCAAGACATCCAACATCCTCTATGGGCACCAGGTACATACATGGCACACATATACAAATGCAGGCAAAACACTCACAGACGTAAGTATTTTTAAAAGAAATAGCATTTCCTCCTAAGTTCTAAAATATTTCTGGAAATGCATAGAGAATCAATGTTAAAACATAATTTGCTCCCTATTCCATAAATATAAAAACAGGACCAGATTAGTAATAATGAAGGGATTGTCTTACGAAATACATGGCATTCAACTCATAGGGTTAGAAATTGCCCATTTGTTTAGAAACACCAGCTAGATTATTTTACAAAGCAAAGCTGTGTGTTCCCTAAATAGCTACTGATACTATTGCAGTATTCTTTCAAGGCCAGATGGGTTCTAAGTTGACTGCTATCCTTTGGTAAGAAGTCATTCACAGAACTGCACAGAAAAGTGCTCTTGCTATAGTTCAGAAGCCCCTGGATATTTGATTAATCCCCACTGAAGGAGATTTGTAAGCGTATGCAACTGGCACTCCATTCTGGAAGCATCCGTGCTTTCTCTCCCCTGAAATAGAACATCCATGTGGGATGTTTCCCTGGCACCCAGGCTTTTCCATCTGATAGTTTTTGGAATTTCCACAAGAAATGCAAGCCATCAGGAAGTTCTATTCACTACAAATACATCTTAAGTGGGTATAAGAAGAGAAACTAGAGAATGAAATAAATGTTCATTTCTATTTCTTATAATAGTAAACTTATGCTTACCCAAATGAGCTCCAATATGGAGACATGATGTCACTTCCTGCAACCCACTACAGAGCCTGTGTTGGAAGCAGCGTGTTCTTTTTGACAGATAGAATGGGTCTGATGCTTGTAAAACAAAGAAGTGCTGCTGCTGTTCTGTGTTTGCTGACATCGCTCAGGAGCTGTCTCCCATCTTAAATGAGCCTATTTTTATAATAATTTCTTATTTAACTTTTTACACATGCTATTCCCAGATCCCTCTCCCTCTCCTCCTCCCCAGCCCAAATGAGTGTATTTTTTAAATTGGAAAATCAAATAAGAAAATCCAAAGGTGCTTTGAGACCCTACACTCTAAAGACTGTCACATATTTTAAAAATAGGACAGGAAAGACGGGAGAGCAATTACAAGCATGTTCGGTGAGAATTGCATTCAGAGAAGTGTGCTCATTCATTTAGCAGGGCCTTACAATTCACCAGACTCGGCCATTTGGACCCTGAAAGTATCACTATAGCCCACTTTAATTGGCTGTGCCTAGGAAGCTACACTTACCTTCCTACAACCATATCTCCCCTAGAAAAGCATTTCCCCACAGCCCAAACATCTGAATATGAGTTCTCGTGCAGTGTACTTCCCACAGACAGCAGCCAGCCCTGTAGCCATGAGACATCTCTGTTCTAGATCTAGGCCTCCCTCATAAAAGACACTGGTACCTAAGGAGGACAACTTCCAAGTCAGGGCTCACTGGCCTCGTCCCACACTTGCCCATCTGTCGCTGAGGAGATGAGCCCAAGGAAATTCTCTTCTTCTTGACTTTCCATCTTTCCCTGGGAAACTCTTAAACAGATCTGTCCCATGGCCATTGTCTGACTTTGCTAGAGTGTCTATAGAAATGGATGGGCAGCCCTGGAAAGGGTGGGAAGACAAGTGTCCAGAGATAGAAACGGGCTGTGAGGGGAGAGGACACACCAAGATGGAGTCAAAGCTTGAAACAGGTGCTTCCTCTTCTTAATACAAACCCTCGGGAGGTGGCCTGCCACCTGCTGTCTGCCGTCAGGAGCCATCACCTGTCACGTTCTCCTTCCAAATTCACCGTCAAATGCCAACCAGCTATCACAGTCACTGTTTGTTCATATCCCGATTGAGGAAATCCCTTTGAAGAGCTTACGGGAGATTTGCTGCTGCTGTTTTATTTTTATACTATAATATAGTAAAGCAAAAGAGACACAATGTGGCATAAAGTTGTAAGACGGAGATAATTCTTAGGTTTCTAAGATATCCAGCCTTGGTGGAGGGTTACTGGCTCTGTGTAGCCCTTGGCCTTTCCTGGTCAAGTCAACCATCGTTCTCCGGTCCTTCTGTTCATTGCACGCAATTCTGCCACTCCCTCACGGAGTGTGTTCAACTACTCATTTGGCCATCTCCCACAAGATGCTACCGGGTGGATCTGTAACCCACTCCTCTTCTCGTAACTAGCCCCTGAGACCGTACACAGCATGAGGATGAGTTGAGCAGAAATCAAAGCTGGCCTCTCCTAGCTCATGCCATCTTCCTTTCTTCCTATCTTTGTAGATTGCTATGCCCCCCTCCAGAAGCTAGCAAATGCTCTGAGCGTAGTCATACCCTATGTACCGTGTGTTGATGACTGTTGATAGGGATAACTGTGGGTTTTTTTCTTATTGCGCCAATATGCTTCTCTTATTTTCTTCCTACTTTGCCTGAAAAATACCAACAGCAACTCAATCATGATATTCTTATCTTTCAGTCCAGTCCTATCTTTCCCCTTAAGATGTTTTCTCACAGTTGGTTATATGACAGTGGCCTGCTTTTTGCTTTTTGGTTTTCCTTTTTAGCCAGCCTCATCCCCATACATATCTGGCCACTCAAAAGCACTGGCATGGCAGTGACCAATATTTCTGGAAGTGGCATTCCCAGTTTGCAAACAATAGGCTGCATTTTTAATATAAACTCTTCGATGGTGACAAATGGGCTGCTTTTCTCATTTGGTGACAAAGCACACGATAGAAACAACCTTGGAGAAGGAGAGGCTTATCTTGACTCACGGTTTGAGGAGACAGCATCCATCCTGGTGGCCGGTGTTGCACTGTCCACAGCTGCAGGAGTTTGCAGCATAGGAGGATAGACGGAAGGGAGCGCTCCACAAGTAAGACTGATCCTAACCCTCAAGGACTGCCCTCCCTTCCTCCAACCAGGCACTGCCTTCTACCCCCAAACAGCACTACCAGCTG